AAGAGCAGAGGGACATAGGCAAAGAAGGAGAGTTGTCTTGGACCAAACTTCTGGACTAACTGCCATTATAGGGTGCCTTGCGCCACTTCTCAGTTTCTCACCGAGGCTGGGTCCCAGGCAGGAGGCAGGGAAAAGATGGGACACCCCTCTCCTCCAAGCAGGCAGGGAAGCCTACTGTTCCCCTGGGGAACCAGGGAAGGTCTTAAGCCCTCTTGCTGTTTCTCTGGGACTTCTCCAACATTATGGTGAAAGCCAGAAAAGGTGAGCAGAAAGAGCCCTAAGCCGGGGATCCTGAGACCTAGGTTCAAGACCCAGTTCAGATACTAACTCTCTGGGAGAAATTATGCCAGCCCCACCCTCTCTGGGCCTCTCTCCTCTCATGTGTAAAGTACGCCCAGTCTCCAAAGGCCTTTCCTTCAATAATGAGTGTTGGGAAGGTGGAAAGCAGGGCAAAACCTTGGCCACAACAGGTCTTTCTCATGGTGGCATCTTCTAATGTCTTCTGTGCTGTCAGTTGCAGTGACCCAGCAGTCTTCCTATTTCTAGGATGAGCCTGGGACCCCACCAGGACTATGGTAAGGATGTTCAAACACTGGAGCATCATTGTGGTACTCTCTGACCCCATCTTGGTGGCTGTGACCTTGAACTACCCATCAATGATTTCCCACAGTCAAACCAAAAATAGTTCCTTCATTAGAGCTTACGTTTGGATATGCCCAAAGCTGATAAGCTGGGAAACTTCCCAAGGGAAGGTAATTCAGCATGGAGCTGATGGAGGTAGAAGAGCCTCTAAGAACCAGACTAAAGGAACGGTGCCTGACAGGGGAAGGACAGACAGTGAATGCCCCTCCCACTTCAGACAGATGATCGGATTTGTAGCTTAGGGTTTGAGTATTCTTGAGGACCATCCGAAGCTGATGAGACATTCCATCCAGCAGGACAATGGCATTGCAGTAAGATGTATGAAGCCAGGTTGCAAGCCTGACTCTAAGTCTTTTAGAACTAAAGGAAATAGAGGCCAAGCATAGTGGCTCCTGCCTGTAATCACAGCATTTCAGGAGGCTGAGGCAGGAGGATCGCTTGAGCCCAAGAGTTTGAGGCCAGCCTGGGCAACATGGCAACATCTTATCTCTACAGAAAGCACAAAAATTAGCTGGGTGTGGTGGTGTGTGCCTGTAGTCCCAGCTACTTGGGAGGCTGAGGTGGGAGGATGGGCTGAGCCCAGGAAGTCAAGGCTGCAGTGAGCCACAATTGCACCACTGCACTGCAGCTTGGGTGACAGAGCAAGACCCTGTCTCAAATATATATATAAATATATATATTTATATACCTGAAGGAAATTGGTGCTAAATGTAAAGTTACCTGAAACCCTTGGACTCTCTGCATTCCCAATTAACCACATCTCTGCACTCTGCTTTCCTCTCCTGCATAAGCAAGGTACTCCCAAGCCACTTTCTCGATGAGTGAGGTTCACTTCAGGACCTGCCAAGGGAAGTAAAGAAAAGAATGCCAACATTATACACATTTAGAATTCCGGAAGGTCAGAATCTTGGCCTTAGAGGTCCTAGGAACTCCGAGACCTTGGCAATGGGTGGGAATGAGCAGAGGTGCTGGGCCTGCGGGTCCACAGGATTGAAGCACTGAATCTTTCAATTGCATGAAACTCCCATGATGCAGTTGTGTGCTGGGAAGTAGGTGGCCCCTGTCATGGCTCTTTGGTGTGGCAGTGAAAGGGACAGGCTTAAGGGTCAGGTAAACCTGGGTTCAAATTCTACCCTTCCAATGACTCGGAATCTCAGGTTCCTCTTCCACAAAATGGGAATGAGAATGGTACCGATTTATAGGAAAATTGTGAGAAAATGCATGAAGAAAGCCTACGCTCAGAGCCTGGGTGACAGAGTGAGACCCTGTCTCAAAAAAACAAAAGAAAAAGAAAAAGAATGAAAGGAAATGACTGCTAAATGTAAAGTTACCTGGAACCATTGGGCCTTGCATTTCCAATTAACCACATCTCTGCACTCTACCTTTCCTCCAGAGAACCAGAGGGTGGTCAAGCTGCTCCATCTCAAACACCCCAATCCCTGTGGTACCAGTGGGGGAAACTGAGACCAGAAGGGCATGTAAGACTCAGCCAAGACACCATAGGGTGCCCCCTGCCTGAGGCTCTGGTCACCTACCCCCTCCTGCAGCTCCTGCCCGCTGTCAGAGGACCTGGGTGTGAAGCTCAGCTCTGCGTACTTCCAGCTGTGCGGAAGAGGGCCAGGCAGCTCACCTCCCTGGGCCTCAGTTTCCTGGACTGTTAAATGAATATGAGCACTGGCGGATTGTCTACACACTACCAGGCAGAGGGAACAGGCAGCTTGAGCTAAGATATGGAGTGGGTACTTGCAAGGAAGGGGCTGTGAGAACCCACAGTCACACTCTCTGTCTCTCCCTGTTCCCTGTAGACAGGCACAGTCACAGAGGCTGGACACTGCATGGCCTTCCGAGCCTCTCCCCCGCTTCTGGCCACACACAGGGAGCAGCAGGAATGGCCTGGCCACAGGCAGGGCTCCCGGGCAGATGGATGGGGGTGAGGGCAAGCACAGTTCTCAGATTTTGCCACAAGGTGGAGTTGTGACCATGCTAATCCATGTTTCTCACACTTGTTAGACTTGAAGGATATTTGCATAATGCAGCATTTGATTTTTATTTTTATTTTTTATGCCAGGCACTGTGCTGGGCATCTGGCTTTCAGGATCGCATGTGATTTTCACAGCCACCTCTCAAGGTCAGCAGTATCATTATCTCTATTTTAGACATGAGGAGACTGAGGTTCAAAGTGGTGATGGGACTGCGTGGATGGACAGGGGAGTCAGAATCAGAACCGGGCTCAAATCCCAGCTCTTTGGCCTACCAGGGCACACAACCTCTCTGTGCCTCAGGCTCCAATGGGGAAAAATGGGGCCAATGATAGCAATAATATTTTGAATAGACCTTAGCTCTTTGTGGATTGTTTATCTTGTGCCCAGCCACGGATCATTTCATTCAGCCCTTTACCCACCCTAAGAGGCAGCTGTTCATACATATTCATTTTGCAGATGAGGAAACTGAGGCCCAGTGAGGTTAACTGCTGCCTAGCCCACTTCCGCACAGATGGAAGGAGGCAGAGCTGGGCTTCGCACCCAGGTCCTCTGGCAGCGAGCAGGAGTTGCAGGAGGTGGTGGGTGTCTGGAGCCAGGAGCAGGGGGGACCCTACTGTGCCTTGGGTGACTCTCCCATGCCCTCGGGCCTCAGTTTCCCCACTAGTACCACAGGGATTGGGGTGTTTGAAGTGGAGCTCCTTCACTACCCCCTGGTTCTCTGGAGGAAAATGCAGTGCAACAGCCAAGAAGCCATATCCAGGAGGCTCCTGGGGCTGGGGGGTGAACCCTGCAGCAAGAGGAGTACCCTAAGCTCCTGTATGTCTCCCCATGCCCCAACCAAAGCCACCCAGAGCTCAGTCCATGCTGGGCATCCCTAGTGTCACTTGGGTGCATGGCTGATGACACATACGACAACGTTTGTTTTCTCAACCTTTTTGTCAGGACCGTCCTTGTGAACAACCTGAGGGCCCTGCAGGCTGCGGGGAGAGTCACGTGGAGCCTGAGGGTGGCACCAGGAAAGGAGAGAAGAAGCAAGTGGAGCCGGCCTTCAGGGTTCCTGAGTCTCCACAGGCCCAGGGCACCTGTGTTCTTGGTCCAGCAATAAATGCTCAGATGGATGGCGAGGACTCGGGTCACCACAGGATCCATATGAGAGGCTCTTGGGAAATATCACCACCACGACACTCATTCTTTCAGGCAGTAAACATAGCCAGGTCCCATCTGATACGAATCTGACTTGCAAATTTGCAAGTGTCCTACAACATATTAAGTTTTACATGGTGAACAGAAAGTTAAATAAAACATATCCCCTCCTCCCACATTTTCCACTATTAAGAACACACACCTAACTTCCTCAAGTCCCTCCCTTCTCAGGAAGAATAAAGGTTCCACCTGTAACTACACATTCCCTCCACCAACCTCCTTCCCTCTCTCGTCCCCTTCGTAGCCAAAGTTCCTTAGAACTGTGCTTCTCCACCTTGAACACACACATGAGCCACCTGGACTCTTATTAAGATGCAGGTTCTAGGGCAGTTGGTCTGAACTAGGGAGAGGCCAGTGGTCCATGGGCCACCCTTTGAGCAGCATGCTTATTTTGGATACATCCACCCCACCACCCATCTTGTTTCCACTGGTCACCCTACCAAACTCGCCTTTACCAGGCCCTCTGTGATCACCAGGTAGAGGAAGCCAGTGGACCATAGTTGAGGTCAGCCTCATCTTGACCATAGCACACATACTACTTCCTCCTCCATGAAATCAGTTCTTCCCTTGGCCTTCCTCCCCTAGCCTCCTCCTCCTCCTCTGACCATTCTACCTCTGCCTTCTTTGCAGATGTGATATTTGCAAATTGGCCAACCAGTGGTTTCCTTCACTCTGGCCACTCTGATTGGTTCAGTACTCAGCATGTAACCTCAGCAGGACCAATGGGAATCAGTACTAGAACTTTTGAAGAGATGTTAAGAAAGACATACTCTCTTTCTGCTAGACTATTAAGAGAGAATGTAGACCTGAAGCTGTTGGTGGCCATCTCTGCCGCCTCTTGGGGGGATGTCAGTTTGAGAAGAAAGGCAAGCCAAGTCATGGAAAGAAACAGAGGCCTGGAGATTTCTTTTGAGCACCTAGATTCAGCCATGCCTGAAACCTGTGGACCTGCTAGTTACATAAGCCAATGACTCTCATTCACATCTAAGTCAGTTTGGGTTGTGTTTTCAATTACAAATATAACCCAAAGAACCCTGACAAATGCAACTGACAAACATTTCAGTTTATTGGCAAGCCATAGTGGGAAACCAGAGATGAACCTCAGACAGAACTTGGCCTCCCGGAATTGACAATGGAGGAGAGACAGCTGTGGGTGTGTAGGTAAGGAAGAGACCTGTTCAAAACTGACAAGGCAGAACGTGAGAAAAGGTCAGCTGGGTGACTCAATGAAGGCTTTATATAAGAGGTGCTTGCAGGATGGGGAGAATTTGCAGGGGGGTGACATCCTCAGACCTGGTTCTTGGCACTGGGAAGAGTTGATGCAAAGAAATTCTGGGAGGCCAAAGAGGAGGCTTTGGGAATTGTCCAGCAGAAACAGAGAAGTCTGACAGAGGTGGTAAGCCGAGACCCCACAGACACAAGTCCTTTGAGGGCCCTAGAAGAAAAGACAAGGAGCTATGGTACTTCTCCCATGGTTTGGGATTTTTTGTTGTTTTTTTCTGAGACAGAGTCTTGCTCTGTTGCCTAGGCTGGAGTACAATGGTGAGATCTTGGCTCAACTCAACCTCTGCCTCCCAGGTTCAAGTGATTCCCCTGCCTCTGCCTCCCAAGCAGCTGGGACTATAGGCACCTGCCACCACGCCCGGCTAATTTTTGTATTTTTAGTAGAGACGGGATTTCACCATGTTGGCCAGGTTGGTCTCGAACTCCTGACCTGAGGTGATCCACCCGCCTCGGCCTCCCAAAGTGCTGGGATTACAGGCATGAGCCACCATGCCCAGCCTCTCCCATGGTTTTGATTCACCCTTTTGATTGAGTGGCCACCACACGATGCTCCAGGACTCTGCATTCCCCCTTTTATTTAATGCCTCCCCAGTCCCTACTGGCCAGGATTGCACCGATTTTAGAGAGCAGAAGACACTGTCTCAGAGCGGCCGTGCCATGCCTAACATCACACAGCTGGTCAGTGGCAGAGACTGGAGTGAGGCTCTGCCTTCTTTCCCACCCTTAATCCTGCTGCTGGGCGTGACACTTCTGCATTATCTTTAGTGAGCACTTACGATGTGCCTGATACTGGGCTGACTCTTTTCCAGGCTTAAGTCCCAGATCAGCTGTGTCAGGCGGATGATCATGGTCACCATTTTGCAAATGAGGGAATAGAGGCCCAGAGAGGCAATGTCACTTTTCCAGAGTCACACAGTTAGAAAGCAGCATGGTTAGGACCCAAACTGAGGTCTGGTTGGTTACCCAAAGCCCCTGCAAGACAAACACACCCAGACTTACCCACGTTTTGGAATCCTCCCATCCTTTGTCGTCTATATGATCTGTCTCCACCTACCCCACAGTGTCATAGCATTTCCTCTTTCCACTCCCAAAGTCAGTTCGACCCCATTCAGTGCTTAAAGGAAGGACCTTCACCAGGGCGGGGCACTGTGCCAGGGACAGCAGCTGCCTATTTGCTTCGGGCCATCGATGCACAGAACACTTGCAAGAACCGTACCTGCTTTGTGGAAAGTAATTGTCAGTGTGCGTGTTGGCCTGTGCCCCTGCCGGTGGGGTCTGAGGGTGGACACATGTGGGGGTGCTCTGTGGGGCCCAGAGCCCCACATGGGGCAGGACCCAGGTAAGACGCTCCGTGCGTGTGTGACGAATGAATGAATGACAGGATGGGTGGGTGGAGGGAAGGAAAGACTCTTCTTGCTGATTCTGGGTCTCATCTCCTACATTCATCTATTCAGTCTGTGGATTAACTTGCTTTTTTCGCTTTAATTAATTGTGGTGTTTATTGGGATCCACCAAAAGCCAGGCCCCAGGCTGCTGCTGGGGACACACAGATGGCAGAATCATGGTCCCCAACCTTAAGGAGCCCCAGTCCAGCGGAGGAGAAAGGGCTAACTCACATGCCTTCAACCAACAAGCTTTTATGAAGGGATTCCCTGGACACAGACTTGGGGCTGGGGGTGCTGGCGCAATGCAAATGAATCAGAAGGACCCACACAACCCAGGGGGGATTCTGACGATTAGAATATAAGTGGCAGTGCTGCCAGGCACGGTGGCTCTTGCCTGTATTCCCAGCACTTTGGGAGGCTGAGGCAGGTGGATTACTTGAAGTCAGGTGTTCGAGACCAGCCTGGCCAAAAGGTAAAACCCCATCTCTATTAAAAATACAAAAATTAGCCGGGCATGGTGGTGCATGCTTGTAATCCCAGCTACTCGGGTGGCTGAGGCAAGAGAATCACTTGAACCCGGGAGGTGGAGGTTGCAGTGAGCCAAGAGGGACTTTGTTTAAAAGATATATATATATACACACACACACAAATGGCAGTGTACTGTGAGTGGCTCAGAGCATGGACTCCGGATTCAGGCTTTCTGAGTTCAAATCCCAGCCCTGCCACTTACTAGGTGTGTGACCTTGGGCAATACACATTACCACTCTGTGCCTCAGTTTCCTTGTTTATAAAATGGGAATAAGACAGTCCCTGCCTCTGGTTGCTGGGAGGGTAAATGCCTTCTTGCCAGACGTGAGCCGATCGAAGCAACTCACCTACTGCCCTGGAGGTGGCTTGTCTCTGGGACAAGGACTGAGCTTCAGACGTCTTTGACTCCATCACAGGGCTTGGGGTACCCACCAAAGGGTTGTCAAAAGCATGAGTGGTTCCAGCAGAAAATAATTTGCACTTGTAAAGTGAATGAACAATAAATAAATGGAGAGATGACTAGGTGCAGGGCCAGGCCCACTTTAGCCAGGAGGATCTGGAAGATGAGACAGGGCACAGACAGATTGAGGGGCCAAATTCCAGGGAGTGAGGTGAGAACAGGGAGGGACCCAGAGAGCTCGCTCATGTCAAGAGGCCCACCCACCTGGGGAAGACAGAAAGTCAATGCCCATGAGCTGAACCAGACCCTGGGCTGAGTACTGGGACCTTGGAGATGGTGTGGTCTTGCCCTCAGAGAGTGGAACTGGTGGGACGTGGCTGGCCTCCCTCCCTCCCTTCTTCTCTCCCTCTTCTCCTCCCTATCTTCTTCTCTCTCCACATCCCCTCTCTCTCTTTCTTCCTTCCCTCTCTCCTTCCCTTTCCTGTCTTTCTTCCCTCACTCCTTCCCTCTCTTTCCCTCCCTCTCTCTTTCCTTCCTCTCTTTTTTCCTCCTTCCCTCTCCCTCTTTTTCCTTTCTTTCTCCCTTCTTTCCTGCCACAAACATCATTTGACTCCTGCTGTAGACCAGACCCTGTTCCAGCTCTGAGGGAACCAAGGTGAATAAGACAAGGTGCCCAGACTTCAAAGGACCCAGGGGAGGACCCTGACCCAGTGAAAACTCCTTTAAATTTTCTCTGGGAGTGTTGGGTGAAGCATTCAGGGACCATTCCATGGGACAGGAGGAAGAAGACTCCAGCCTGCAGTGGGGCAAGGCCCCCTCCATCAGTCAGTCCATAGGAAGTGGCTCCCCATATTCTAGGGGCAGGACCTGAGGGGGGTCTATTAGTGTCCAGATGTGGAATCCGGGACTTAGGGAAATACTTGAGAGCTGAAAGAATACAATTGTCACCTTCAAAATCAGGGAAAAAAACCCAGCAAAGTCAAAATTAGTAAAAGTTGAATTAAAGGCCTTCAGACTGTAACATTGTGACAACTTTATTAATTGCTCTATTGAGCAGTCAAAAGAAGGACAGTAACGTGTGAACACATTTTGTTGCTTTGATCTTTCTTATTTGCCAAGAATTCCTGAGTAGGCAGTTCAAGTGTGACAACCTAGGACCTACTAGAAATTGGATGGATGATTCGTACCTGACTGATTTCACAAGCAAAATGGTGACAAGCCTTTCAACAATTTTACTGGCAAAATAAGGCAATTATCTTTGATGGGTGCGATGGGAGGGCACGTCTGTGTGTTTGTTATCTGGAGAAGGGGTGGGGGCTGCTTCTGTCAGTGGGGAGAAGGAAGGTCAATGGGGCAGAGCCTGGTTAGCTGAGCATCCCCCAGCCTGGCTGGCCCCTTGTGCAACCCCAGCCCTGTCACTCGCCTTCTCTGGTCTCAGTAGGCTACGTGACCTCTTAGGCTCTTTCTAGCCAGGGCACTGAGCCATGTATGGAAAAAGATACCAGCTTGGAGGTTAAGGCTGGGCCAGTGGGACCAGGAAGTTGCCCCAGCTGGGGATTAGCAGTCATGCCAGGGGTAGGATGTCCTAGTCTTGGCACAGCTAGTCTTTAATGCCTCGCTGGGAATTTTCAATAAGAAATTCATCTCGCGACCCTCATGGCTGGGGCTTTTGTCCCTGAAAGGCAAACATCTTCCATGTGAGAAGACTTTGTGTAACCTGGAGAGGGAAGAAGAGGAGGAGGACGAGCACACAGGCGGAGGTGTCATTGCTTCTCTTTCCGGAAGGACTCAGACCGGCCAGCCTGAACCACAGGTGACCTCTGAGGGTCCCAAACTCCCCCCCTACAAACGAGCCTGTATTATATATTATGTAATATTAATCTTATGACAGATGCTCCTCATTTTATTTTATTTTTGTTTGTTTGAGATGGAGTTTCACTCTTTTGCCCAGGCTGCAGTGAAGTGGCACAATCTTGACGCACTGCAGCATCCACCCCCTGGGTTCAAGTGATTCTCCTGCCTCAGCCTCCAGAGTAGCTGGGATTACAGGTACCCGCCACCACGCCCAGCTAGATTTTGTATTTTTAGTAGAGACGGGGTTTCACCATGTTGGCCAGGCTGGTCTCGAACTCCTGATCTCAGGTGATCCGCCCGCCTCGGCCTCCCAAAGTGCTGGGATTACAAGTGTGAACCACTGCACTCGGCCAGATGGTCCTCATTTTATAATAAGTTATGTTCCAATAAACCCGCAGTAAAGTTGAATTATTGAAGTCAAACCATGGTAATCTGGGACCATATGTGCACATATTCATTAGCATCATCTTCACCATCTTTGCTGTCGCCATGCATCAAGGGCCTCCCCTATGCTAAGCCTTCATGGGTGTTACCCCAATTTGACCTCATAGCATGCCCATGAGGTGAGCACTGTTCTCAGTCCCATTTCACAGATAAAAGCCTGAGACTCAGCAAAGTGCAGTCTCTGGCCCAGGTCACATAGCCAGCAACCAGCAGAGCAAGTATTCAAGCCCGGGAGAGCCCAAGCCCAGTGCCAGGCTCTGAGCACCGCCCTCAAAGCCCCTCACCATTGCTTTGATTTCCTAGGTCCTTGCCTGTCCACTATGCCTCTGAGATCCAGGAACAGGGTGTTTACCCATTTTACAGATGAGGCAACTGAGGCCTAGGCCAACACCAGGTCTCAAGGTCACTGCATCACGCTCAGCACCCTGGGCTGTATTCCTGGGCTAGAACAAACTGCCCTCACGAGATTTCAGCACAGCCCTTGGCTCTGTGCTTCACAACTGAGGGAAGAGCGGGGCTCAGATGTGTGCAGAACCCAGTGTCAGGCAACCAGGGAAGGAGGTGTGACAACCATTCAAGACCACGGGCAAGACCACAGCAGTGCTCTAAAGGTCTGGGCTCTTGAGGCCTGGCCATCACCTTCTTCCTGCAGCCACCCAGCTCTGTGCTATAACAGCGGAGCCATGGTCAACGTAGGAACAGCCAGCTCCTGGAGCCACCGGTCTTGTCCCAACCTTTGCCTGGTTGTGTCATTTTGAGGACGCCCCCCGCCTCCAGGTCCTTGCTGAGTTGCAGGTGGGTAAGCAGAAGGGCAGAGACCCATAGTGACCCTGAGCTCTGTGCCAGTCCTTCCCAGCCTGAGGCCAAGTGGGCACCCACCTGAGTTTCCTGTGCTGTTCCGGGTTGACACAGGCCCAATGCAGCAGGCGTTACAACCAACCCAAACATCGGTGGCCGAAGCAAAAACAGGATATTCAGGCCCAGGGACTCTCCCTCTTTGCTAACTGACCTCAGCCTGATATGGGTGGAAGGGTCTTCCCTGGGGGCCCAAATGCCTGGTTCCTGTCCTTGCAAGAGTGGACAAGCCACCTCCCTCTTTGAACTTCAGCTTCCTCAACTGGAAAATGGAGCTCTGAAAACCTGCCTTACAGAGTTTTCATAAGGAATAACAGGAAAGTGCATCTAAAGTGCCCTTTAGGGACACCAAGCCCAGTGTCAGCACAAGCAGCTGCCAGGCATCTGCTGCACCTGCTGGGTGCAGACCCCTGGAGGCAGGATGCTGTGCACTGGGAGACTGTCTGACTCCTTGTGGGCCACAATTCTAGACCCATCTCTGTCCCTGTCTTGCTGAATGACCCCAAGCTGGTAGCTTCCCCTCTCTGAGCCTCAGTTTCCAAGTGATGACAGAGTTAGACTGAATGGTCATTATGGGTCCTCCTGCCAGACATTCTCCAATTCATTCATTCTCGGTCTCTCCCCAGTCCTCACCCACAAGGACCAAGGACCACCCCCTTGGTAGCTGCAGGCTCCATGAGGACCTGGTCTTAGTCTTGGCAGAAAGCCCTCTCCATAGCCATCCATTTCAATTCAAACATCCTGGGTGACCTTTGGGTTGGAAATCTCTCTCTCTGCTCATCCTGAGAGGGGTATTTTCCTTGGAGTGTCCTTGGATGATCCCAGAACCAAGGCTTGCTTCTGTGGGCAGCCTTCCATCCCATCTCCACCATATAAGAGCCGCCACCATTCAGCAGAATCCCAGCAGACTGTGCAGGGGGCAAGGATTTCATGAGCATCCTCCTCTAAACCTGTGAGTGGCGTGCTTCCCCCACTGACACCACACATGGTGGTCTTCAGAAGGCTTTGGGGGCAAGAGGCAGAGGGGTGGGATTGCTTGGGTTAGCTAATATTTTGCATATAGCAGAGATAATATATCTCTAAATTTGCTCTAAATAGCAACTTAGTGATGGGTACTCACTAAAGATTCCATTTCCTTCTGGGCAATTCTTACTCTTGTTCCTCCCATGACAGTCCAGATATCAAGACAAATAGCAAATCAGAGCAAATTTAGAGATCTATAGATTATATTAAAATAAGCGTCAAACTAATGAACAATGCAGGTTCATGAGGTGGTCTCCACTGATTTGTTCATACTCTTATTCAACAAATATTTATTCATTTACTGTACTGTACTAGGTGCAGGCTTTTTACTGGCACCTGAGGATTTGACAGTGAAATAAGTCACAGTCCTTCCCCTGTGGAGTTCACAGCCTGGTAGGAAAGGTGGTCAAATAATCAGGGAAGTGTTACCCAGGACCTTGATCAGGATAATGAAGGCAGCAAGGTGGGACTCCCCCAACTTAGAATCTGGGGAGGGGCCTACAGTAGGCTTCACAGAAGGCATGATATACGAATTGACCTAAGTGGAAAAGTAAAGAAGAAGAAAAATATTTTAGGCAGAGAAGACGGCGTTATGAAAAGGAACCAAGAGTATGGGCTTGGATTCAAGTCTGACTTTTCAAATCCCAGCTCCTTCACTCACTGGCTGTGTGTCTCCGGGCAAGTTGCTGTAGCTTTCTGAGCTTGGTTGCCCATTTGTAAAATAGGAAATAACTACATCTATCTTAATGGAATGTTAAATGTTAAGAGTGATGGGAACTCACTGAAGAGACCATTTCCCTCTGGGCAATTCTCACTTTGTTCTTCCCATGACTGTCCAGGTGTCAAGACAAAAGATGCTTCAGCTTTGGAAACTTGTTCTCCTATGCGGCGTGCTCACTGGGACCTCCGAGTCTCTTCTTGACAATCTTGGCAGTGACCTAAGCAATGTTGTGGATGAGCTGAAACCTATTCTTCACGATGGACTTGAGACAGTTGACAATACTCTTAAAGGTAAATCAACAAGGGTTACGAAGAGTGTCACTTAAATTAACCTCCTGAACCCTATGCCTGCATTACCAGAGGCTGCCACCAGGGGCTACTCTTTATGGGTGGTTTACTGAGAAAAGTGGCTATTCAATTCCTGGCTCATTCGTTTCTTTCTAGAAACAAGCAATGCTACAGTGACTATCCTTTTACATATTATATCCTGATAAACGTTTGCCAATATGTGCATAAGATAAATTCCTACAAGTGGGATTTCAAAAGTTCAAAAACTATGCCGTTGACAAATAATCTCCTATGTTAACACTGTCTCCAACAGTCTACGAGAGTGCTTTTTTTCCCACCCCTTTTCCAGCAGTGGGTCTGGACAACTTTAAATGTTCTGCCTGTCTCACAGATGAAAAGCTATAACTTATTTCACTTTGCATTCCTCTAAGTTCTCCAGAGACCTATCATAAAGACACTTTGCCCTCCTCCTCCTATAAGAATTACTGCTTTCTTTCTTTTCTTTCTTCATGATTTTGGTGTCATGAAGTTTTTGCCCATGTCTATGTCTTGAATGGTATTGCCTATGTTTCCTTCTAGGGTTTTTATGGTTTTGGGTTTTACATTTATGTCTTTAAACCATCTTGAGTTAACTTTTGAATAAGATGTAAGGAAGGGGTCCAGTTTCAGTTTTCTGCATATGGCTAGCCAGTTTTCCCAGAACCATTTATCATATAGGGAATCCTTTCCCCACTGCTTGTTTTTGTGAGGTTTGTTGAAGATCAGATGGTTGTAGATGTGTGGTATTATTTCTGAAGTCTCTGTTCTGTTCCATTGATCTATATGTCTGTTTTGGTACCAATGACCTGCTGTTTTGCTTACTGTATCCTTGTAGTATAATTTGAAGCCAGGTAGCATGATGCCTCCAGCTTTGTTCTTTTTGCTTAGGATTGTCTTGCTATATGGGCTCTTTTTTGATTCCATATGAAATTTAAAGTAGTTTTTTCTAATTCTGTGAAGAAAGTCAATGGTAGTTCAATGGGAACAGATTGAATCTATAAGTTACTTTGGGCAGTATGGCCATTTTCACGATATTGATTCTTCCTATCCATGAGCATGGAAAATTGACAAATGGAATCTAATTAAACTGAAAAGCTTCTGCACAGCAAAAGAAACCAGCATTAGAGTGAATAGGCAATCTATAGAATGGGAGAACATTTTTGCACTCTATCCATCTGACAAAGGTCTAATATCAAGAATCTACAAGAAACTTAAACAAACTTACAAGAAAAGAACAAACAACCCCATCAGAAATTGTGCAAAGGATATGAACAGACACTTCTCAAAAGAAGACATTTATTTGGCCAACAAACATATGGAAAAAAGCTCATCATCACTGATCATTAGAGAAATGCAAATCAAAACCACAATGAAATACCATCTCATGCCAGTAAGAATGGCAATTATTAAAAAGTCAGGAAATAATAGATGCTGGCAAGGCTGTGGAGATATAGGAACACTTTTACACTATTGGTGTTACTGTAAATTAGTTCAACCATTGAGGAAGACAGTGTGGCTATTCCTCAAGGATCTAAAACCAGAAACACCATTTGACCCAGCAATCCCATTACTGGATATATACCCAAAGGAATATAAATCATTCTACTGTAAAGACACATGTACACATATGTTTATTGCAGCACTATTTACAATAGCAAAGACATGGAACCAACCCAACTGCCCATCAATGATAGACTGGATAAAGAAAATGTGGTACATATATACCGTGGAATACTATGCAGCCATAAAAAAGAATAAAAAATGTCCTTTGTAGGGACATGGATGAAGCTGGAAGCCATCATCCTCAGCAAACTAACACAGGAACAAAAAATCAAACACTGCATGTTCTCACTCATAAATGGGAGTTTAACAATGAGAACACATGGATGCAGGGAGGGGAACAACACACACTGGGGCCTTTTGGGGGCTCGGGGGCAAGGAAAGGGAGAGAATTAGGACAAATACCTAACGCATGTGGGGCTTAAAACCTAGATGACGGGTTGATAGGTGCAGCTCACTACCGTGGCACATGTATACCTATGTAACAAACCTGCACATTTTGCACATGTATCCCGGAACTTAAAGTAAAAGGAAAAAAAAAAAGAATTATTGCTTTGTGGGCCTGCTGCAAAGCTGTCATTCTGGGACTCTCATTTGCCAGTTTCATGGATTGGAGCCATTTTTTCTCCTTGATTCTAGATTTTTCATTTCTTGAGTGTATTCTCTCATTCTTTCTAGTTTTTCAAACTCACGTGAGCATCTCACTTAACACAATAGACCCCTAAGTCACTTCTAGACACTGGCGTACAATCAATATCAATTGCCTGGCCAATTGGCTAATTGCTCTGTTGACAAATAATCAGAATATATTATTAATAGAATGGAGGCAGCATGAAGGAAACAAGAGTTCCCTGGGTGTGTGGCTAGACACATTTCTTAACCATCTTGAGCCTTTATTTCCTTAGCTGTAAAAAAGCAGACAATGACAATATCTACCTCACTGAGTTGTTATAAAGATTAAATGAAATAACATAGGCAAACAGTCTTACCTGGTACCTGGAGCATCGTAGCTACTTCGTAAGGGGTGCATGACACAAAATGGCGATTTTTTTGGCAGGTGTCCTTGAGAAACTGAAGGTCGACCTAGGGGTGCTTCAGAAATCCAGTGCTTGGCAACTGGCCAAGCAGAAGGCCCAGGAAGCTGAGAAATTGCTGAACAATGTCGTTTCTAAGCTGCTTCCAACTAATACGAACACTTTGGGGTGAGTTGGTGCTTCAAGGTGGAGATCTTTGCTCTAAGAAAAGGGAAACATATCTTTGAGGAGGTAAGTTTAAGATGAAAGACAAGCCTCGTTCCCCTCCCACAGAGCCAAGGTGGTCTGAGCGAGGTCAGACCCACCAGAGCTTGAGTAAATTAGAGGCAGGGCTACAAGGTCAATCTGGGTGTCTTATGGGTTTGGGCTTCCATGTTCTTTAATTTCAGGGTCAGGGTGAAGGTTATATTCATCCTTACCTCTACCTGTTTGCTGGTACACAAAGTCCCTTTCCAAGGAATAAAACTTTTCTTTTCCATACGTAACTGAGAGTAAAAGCCCAGATCCCTTTAGAGGAAGGGAAACTGGAGTCTTCACCATATAACTCCAGGCAGTGGATCCACTCATAAACTTTTTATTTTACTATTATTATTATTATTTTGAGACGAGGTTTCGCTCTTGTTGCCCAGGCTGGAGTGCAATGGCACAATCTTGGCTCACCATAACCTTGCCTCCTGGGTTCAAGCGATTCTCCTGCCTCAGCCTCCTGAGTAGCTGGGATTACAGGCATGCACCACAACACCCAGCTGATTTTGTATATTTAGTAGAGATGAGGTTTCTCCATGTTGGTCAGGCTGGTCTCGAACTCCTGACCTCAGGTGATCCACCGGCCTCGACCTCCCAAAGCGCTGGGATGACAGGCATGAGCCACCGTGCCCGGCCCCACTCATGAACTTTTAAAGTCAGACAGTTCTGGCCTCAAAATCTGCCTCTGGCACTTACTCCCCTGGAGATCTGGGGGAAAAAATCACACCAGCCTGAGCCTTGGTGTGCTGTGCCATAAAATGGAGAGAATCAAACCTCTGAACAGGGCTATAGTGAAGACTAAGGAAGGCAAGGCTGACGAGGCCCAAACGCTCAGCTCAGGGAAGTGCTTGGCAAGTGGCTGTTATGAGGAGTGACAAGGGTGAATTGTGGGTTTTACACAGGTTGAAAATCAGCGACTCCCTCATCCTGGATGTCAAAGCTGAACCAATCGATGGTGGCAAAGGCCTTAACCTGAGCTTCCCCGTCACCGCGGATGTCACTGCAACCTTGTGAGTATGCACTAGAATCTGAGATTTGGGAAAGGCAGTGCAACCTGGCCGATGGATGCCCAACCTGGGAATCGGGCACCTCCTCCCGTTACTGGGTGACCTTGGGCCTCTGTTTCCCAATCTGTGAGTGAGAGGACCCTTCTGGGTCTAAGATCTCAATCCTTAAAATGCTCTAGAGAACTCTAGCCATAATCAAGGGTCTTTTAAAAATAATACTCCAATGAATGTAGTTTTGAAATCATGACATTTATCTGATTTTAAAATTTGAAAAGTTGAGAAAACAAGCATTTATTATTCCTTGGCAAAATTTCCTCTGGCATTATTTTGTCTCTCAAGATTCTCTCTAAATTGCAGAGACCATTACAGAAAAATTCATACAGTAATACACACTGTATAATAAAGTATGTGTGTGCAAAATATAAGTTTAAACTCTTTTAATTTTAGCTGGGAGTGGTGGCTTATACCTGTAATCCCAGCAATTTGGGAAGCTGAGGTGGGAGGATCGCTTGAGCTCAGGAGTTCGTGACCAGCCTGGACAATATGACAAAACCCTGTCTCTACAAAAAACACAAAAATTAACCAGGTGTGGCAGTGCACGCCTGCAGTCCCAGCTACTTGAGAGGCTGAGGCAGGAGGATTGCTTGAACCCGAGAGGTCGAGGCTGCAGTGAGCCCTGATTGCACCAGTGCACTCCAGCCTGGGTGACAGAGTGAGACCCTGTCTCACGAAAATTAAAAAATTTTAATTTTAAAGGAGATAGACAAGAAAGGAGCATGTATGAAAGCACTTCTGTAAACTACATGCACTAATGGTGCCATCCATCATTTAGCTATGAGATCTTGGGAAAGTTACTTAACCTCTCTGTACCAAGGTTTCCTCATTCAGAAAATAGGGATAGTAATAAATGAATCCAGGTAAAATACATTTTAAAGTACCTACACATAAATTGTTGTCAATAAATATTAACTATTATTATTTTACCTATTAGTGTAATGTTGTATAAAAAATTCATATGAGCTAAACCCAAGTGGCCAGGAGAAGAAGCCCCTAATATAAACATGTAAATTTCATAGAGGATATGGACCATGTTGATATTACCTGGGCCATGTTGACATTACACATAGACATTCCGACTCATGTCCACACAGGTGGAAGAACCCAACTGGGCAACAGGCAGGACCTTCTAGACTCTGTTCACTGTGCATCTTACTTCCTGCAGGCCCATCATTGGCCAGATTATCAACCTGAAAGCTTCCTTGGACCTCCTGACTGCAGTCAGCATTGAAACTGATCCCCAGACACATCAGTCTGTTGCCGTCCTGGGAGAATGTGCCAGTGACCCAACCAGCATCTCACTTTCCTTGCTGGACAAGTAAGTCCTGTCATCTTAGCAGAATTGGGCTCTCAGGGAACTTGAGGACCCCTAATTTCAGCTCTAGTCCTATACATAAGAGGAGGCCTCGTGGTGAAAGTGTTCAGGCTCTGGGGTCATGTTGACCTTGGTTTAAACATCAACTCTGCCACTAACTTGTAACTTTATCACCAACTTGATCCTCTAAGCCTGTTTTCACATCTGTAAACTGGGGGTGTTCATAATAACTACTCATAGGCTTCTGAGATGACCAGATGAGAAAATGCAAATATTTAGCATGCAGCCTAGAACACGCTGCCTCTCTCCCTGCTGGTTCTCTCCATTACTGAGACTGGAGTGTTGAGCTCCCCACCATAATCATTAATTTCTTCATTTCACCTTTCAACTCTGTCAGTTTCTGCTTCATACCGTTTGGAGCTCTGTTGTTAGGTGCATGCACATTAGGATTGTTATGACTTCTTGGAGAATTGTTCCCTTTATTGTTATGTAATGTCCCTCAATAATAATAATAATAATAATAATAATAATAAAATTATATTTACCTTCTTGCCTCCAAAAGGAGGGAGAGGGGAGAGTAAGTGCCTGCCATGGGCTCTAATTTCAGATTGTCCTCAAATTGTTCTCCACCCAGTGGAAATTTCCTGAAAGGAGATCTTGAAAACTTAATCCTCCCCATTTAAATCATTGATCCCTTTTAATCCACAAAATCTACATCTTAAGCTCTGTGCTTGAAAGAGCAGGTCTGACTCAGACAAGAGGGTGGAGGGAAAAAGAGCGACACTGGCCGATGGCTGGGAGAAAAAGAACGACCCAGAAGCTGAGGGCTGGGGCTACTTGGTCTTGGCCAGGAGCAAGGCTGGGTCCTCAGCTCTCAGCCCCAGTGGCCATGAGCAGAGGACACTCCACTTGCCCTGCACTGAGGGATCTGAACACAGGTTGCCCAAAGACCCCTGAAAACCAAAGGTTTCCATAGCCTGATGTGAGTCACAAAGGCCGGGAAGTAAATTCAGAGACCGGAGTCTGGCTGGGTGCTATCTTCCCAAGTAGCCTCAGGAACTCCATCCTGCTGCACTGGGTCTGTGCCCACATCTGTGAGATGGCACCTCTCTGCAGCTCCAGATCCTTCCAGGGCCTTTCTTTGCACTTGTGGTTCAATCCCAAGTGCTCCCCATGGTCATGTAGGCTCTGTTTGATCTGGCCCCACCCTTGTATCCCTGCACCCTCCCCTTACTCACTGTGCCCAGATACAGTGGCCTTTGTGCCGTGCCTCAGATAGGCTCTTTACTAGCTCAAGACCTTTGCATGGGATGCTCTGGCTGCCTAGAGCACCTTCTTCTCACTCTACTTCAATGGACTGCTGCATCCTGCAGGGCCTTCACAGGGCTCCTCCTATTCTCTCTCATAAGAGTCTACTCTTGCCTTTAAAGCACTTGTCACAAGTTCTCAACATATATTTAATTGCATGTTCACTTTTTTCATTCTTTCAGCCAAAAATGTATTGAGACTGAGCATGGTGGCTCCACACTGGTAATTCCAGCACTTTTGGAGGCTGAGGTGGGCGGATCAGTTGAGGTCAGGAGTTCAAGACCAGCTTGGCCAACATGGCAAAACTCCGTCTCTACCAAAAATACAAAAATTAGCCAGGGTTGGTGGTGAGTGCCTGTAATCCCAGCTACTTGGGACGCTGAGTCACAAGCACTGCTTGAACCCAGGAGGCAGAGGTTGCAATGAGCCGAGATGGTGCCACTGCACTCCAGTCTGGGTGACAGAGCAAGACCTTGTCTCAAAAAAAAAAAAAAGGTGTATTGAGCAGGCACCATTCTGGGCTCTGGAGAACTGATTGGTAACGACAAACAAGGTCCCTGTTCTTGCGGAGCTTACCTAAGGGAAAGCTAAGCTGCCCTGGATCTGTGTCCACATCTGTGAAATGACACCCCTCTACAGTTCTGAATCTTCTCAGGGCTTTTCTTTGCACTTTGGATCAAATCAACCCAAATTCAGTCCATCAGTAAAGAACGCTCCGGGGAAATATGAGTCCTGCACAGAGCATTACCCTTAACAGGGCACTGTGATAGCAAAGCCCTCTCTTAGATAAGTAGTCAGGGAGGGCTGCCCTGTGGAGGTGGCAGTTATACTGACAGTTGAAGGTGGGAGGAGCCAACCTTGGCAAGAATTGTTTAGGTACCACATTAGGGTATGTTTGGACTGTTAATGTTTAGGTACCAGGTTAGGGGATGTTTGTACTTCGCTCATTCGGTACCAGGGCCCAGCTAGGTTCCTGGTGCATAGTTGGTGCTCTGTGAATATGGGTTGAATGAATGAACGAATAAAGTCTCTGTGCTGAGAATCTCATGAGGCCCTGGGGTGAGCCACTGGTCAGATGTGGGATTCTAAGTGATGATCCGTGTGGCTCTGTCTGTAGTTAGAAAGGAGTTTCCATGTCCTTGGGGTTTATCTGACTCCACAGTGTTTCCCCCCCAGTTTCTTGGCCGTTTCCCCCATCTCTTGCCCACTTGACTAGGCTTTAACAGTTCCTTGTGTTTGCAGCCGCAGCCAAATCATCAACAACATCGTGAATAGAGTGATCAACACGCTGAAAAGCACCGTATCCTTCCTGGTGCAGAAGGAGGTAAGTCTCCCACTCCTTGGGGCCCAGATCCAGGCCTGGTCGTGGCATTTTGGGGAATTTGCAGGCCTGGCTGTATCCTCTGGGCACTTTTCCTTCAGAGGTGAAAGCTTCTCCTTGGGAGGTCAGCTGGAACTTCCTCCCCTACTAATCAGCCTGGGGGGCAGCAGGGGAGAACAGAGGCCTGACATCAGCTGGAATTGCCAGGACCCAAACTTGAGCCACTCAACATATCCATGCACTACCAATATGCTTTTGCAGCTAACATCTTCGACACAATTTTACTTAAATACATTTCTTTAGAAGCATTTATTTTTAAAAATAAAACTTTATATCCCTATCACAAATAGAAAATTAATATCACATATCATACAATCAATGGAAAAACTAAACACAGACTTATAAAATAGTTTTAATTGTTTTTTCCATCTGTGCATCATCCAGAACCTTAGGTACCATGTGCAGGATTCCTAGGCCCACAGTTGCAGAGATTCTAAATCTCTCATTCTGGAAGGGGACCCAGGAATGTGGGTTTATAAAAGAAAAACCCTCCGGATGGCTCTGTGACCCACTGAACCGGAGTTTATTTATATTCCAAGTGTGGTCCTCCACCAGCTTCAGCCTCAGCTGGGCGCTTGATCGGAATGTGGAATCTCAGGCCCCACCCCAGACCTGCTGAATTGCAATCTGCAGGGAACTGTGTACACACAAGAGCATGAGATACTCTGCTCTACAACCTCAGGGCAAATGCCTCAGGGCACCATTTGATCCTTTAAAATTCCAGGGTTCCAAAGCTCAACAACATGGAGATGTCAACACTCTAGAATGTAGATTTCTGAGGTCCTAGAATTCTAGTGTTCTAAGGTTTTAGGATTCTAACACCCTAGGGTTTCCAGATTTAAGACTGCTGGGATCCCATTGTTCTAAAATTCTAAAGTTCAGGCCAGGCGCGGTGGCTCATGCCTGTAATCCCAGCTCTTTGGAAGGTCAAGGTGGGCAGATCACTTGAGGTCAGGAGTTCAAGACCAGCCTGGCCAACATGGTGGAACCCTGTCTCTACTAAAAACACAAAAATTAGTCATGCATGTTTAGGTACCAGGTTAGGGGATGTTTGTACTTCGCTCATTCGGTACCAGGGCCCAGCTAGGTTCCTGGTGCATAGTTGGTGCTCTGTGAATATGGGTTGAATGAATGAACGAATAAGGTCTCTGTACTGAGAATCTCATGAGGCCCTGGGGTGAGCCACTGGTCAGATATGGGATTCTAAGTGATGATCCATGTGGCTCTGTCTGTAGTTAGAAAGCAGTTTCCATGTTCCTGGGGTTTACAGGCACATGTCCCAGTCTCTTGGGAGACTGAGGCAGGAGAATCACTTGAACCTGGGAGGCGGAAGTTGCGGTGAGCAGGGATTGTACCACTGCATTCCAGCCTGGGCAAGACAGTGAGACCCTGCCTCAAAAAAAAAAACAATAAAACAAAATGAAATCCTAAAGTTCAAAGGTTCTAAGATCCCTAGAAATGAGCTCCTCTGTGGGTGGCAAGCAGTTTGTTTCTAGCCCAGGAGAATGGTCTGTTCTTCCTCCTTCTCCTGACCGTCCTCTTCCTCCTCTCTCTGGCTGTCAGATATGCCCACTGATCCACATCTTCCTCCACTCCCTGGATGTGAAATTCATTCAGCAGATCATCGGTAAGTCAATGGGGAAGTGGGGACCTTCCGAGGCAGGCCTGGAGCTCTGTGCCCACCGCATAAGCAGTTCTGGTCAGGAGACCCTGGAGAAGCAGAAGAACCCACTGTCCTAAGCAAATTGGGAGCTGTGGCTTCCCCTCCACAGGCATTTGGGGACTCTCTTTGGCTTTTGGGTCTACAGGCATGGCTGAGGTTGCTGGGGAGAAATGGAGTAAGTAAAGGTGTCAAGACCCTGGAGGTGACCCTTCTATGAAAATAGCCACAAGTCAGCCAGGAACGGTGGCTCACACCTGTAATCCCAGCACTTTGGGAGGCTGAGGTGGGCAGATCACTTGAGTTCAGGAGTTTGAGACCAGCCTGGGTGACACGGTGAAATCCCACCTCTACAAAAAAAATACAAAAATTAGCCAGGTGAGTGGCATGCACCTGTAGTCCCAGCTACTCAGGAGGCTGAGGCGGGAGGATTGCTTGAGCCTGGGAGGCGAACATTGCAGTGAGCCGACATCATGCCACTGCGCTCCAGCCTGGGCGACAGAGTGAGACCCCCATCTCAAAAAAAAAATTAAAAAGAAAAAAAAAGAAGAAGAAAGGAAATAGCCGCAAGTCCAGTCCCTTAGGCAGTCACTTTGTGCTCCGTACACACTATCTCACTGGATCCTTGCAACAACCCTGTGGGGTGGGTACAGTCATTATATCCACTCTACAGATGAACAAACTGAAGCTCAGAGAGGTGTAGTGACATCCCTGGGGTCCCACAGCTGTCAGGTGACCTGCCGGAGAGTGGCATCTTTTGGAGTCTGGTCTCTATTCAATTTTCCAGAGGCAGAGACTAAGACCTGCTATTGATTTTGTTTCAGATAATCTTCAGCATGAAACCCAGCTGCAAACCCACATCTGAAGAGGATGAATGACAAGGACCACTGTGATGCCTGCTGGTGAGGAGCCAGGCTCTGAGCCCCAATGCACAGGGGCCTATGGTGAAGAAAAGCCAAGCATGGCTTCCCTTCTTTTTGTGTTAGAAGACTGTGCCTTCATCTCAGTCACAGACTGAGCACTGGCCCCCGTCCCAGGCTAGGACCTAATTCTGGTCACACTCTGAACACTGAGCCTTAATCACTGAACTATGATTCTGGCCCTAGACTGAGCCTAGATCCTAGTCACAGACCGAGCTTTGATGCCAGTTATTGACTGAGCCTTAGTCTTGGTCACAGACTGAGCCCCAACCTTAGTCTCAAATGGATCCATGATTCTGATCACATATTGGGCCCTGAACCTGGCTCCAGTGGTGGCCTGCAATCAATCTTTTCACATCTGCCATTGTTCTGAAGGGGGGTGAGGGGAATGTAGATGAGTCAGTGCTAGGTGCCAATGAAAGACCCCAAACCACAGGTGCCAGTTTCTTCTTCCCAGGACTTAAACCACATGGGGTATTGTGGGAAAGAGCTGGGACACTGGAGCCAGGTCAACTTGGGTCCCATCAAGTGCCCAGTGGATGACAGCTGGGTATAAGGGCAGCCTAGCTGCAAATGTCCTAACCCCCTGTGGTCTCATTCCAGATTGGTTCCCAGTGGCTTGCCCCACCCCCTTATAGCATCTCCCTCTGGGAAGCTGCTGCCACCACCTAACCAGCGTGAAAGCGTAAGTCCCACCAGAAGGACCTTCCTAGATGCCCCTCCTGCTCACAGTCAGAACAGCAGTTTCTACACATACTCTCCTGCCCCTGGCAATAAAGGCCCATTTCTGCACCCTTCTGTGTGGCTCGTTGCGTTCCCTCCATTTGGGATTTGTTGGTGGGAATTGGGGAGGGAGGTTGGGGACTGCAACTAGGGTGGGAGAGACCTGGATCCAGAGGCAGAAGGCTCAGTGAGAATATCCAGCCCCGTCTCCTGGTTCTATAAAGGGGACCATGGAGACACAGAGAGGCAACAAACTAGCCCAAGTCTCACAGCCAGTCTGCGGCGATGGCAGACCCCTGATCTATCCATTCACGCATTCAACAGGTATGTAGTGAGCACCTACTCTGTACCAGACAGACAGTGGGAACTGGAAAATCACATTCTGGGAACAGTCCCACCCAGCGCTTTCCTCCATTCCTCTCCAGGGGCCCTGAGGATTCTCGGAGAATCAGGGGACACCCAGCCTGACTGGAGTCAGGAGTATAAGGCAGAGTGATGCAGGCTCAGAGGCCTGTGGCCCCATCTCCACCTGCCCTGTTGGCCCCGCTGCCCTCTAGGGGCCCCACTGGAGCAGAGATGTCTTTTCCAGGTGGTCCTGAGAGTTCTCAGTCTGTAGCGCCCTCACCCACCCCTCCCATCACCTGAGAGCCTGTGCACCCACCTGCCAGGCTGCCTGGAGGTCCAGCTTCCCTAGTGAGGTTGAGAACCCTGGGATGCTCACCTATCCTATGGAGACCAGCTTCTCCCTCCACCCAAGGCCCCTCCATCCACACCCCAGAATGCAGCTCAGCCCATGCTGCACCAGGCTGTGGCAGAGACAGCATCACACTGCTCACGGCAACACGTCATGGGGGGCTGCCTTTGTGCGGCATGCGGGCTCCATTGATTCCTTACCATACCCATGCACCAGGAGAGCCATTATCACACCCATTTGACAGAGAACTCTGAGGCTGACGGAAGCAAAGTGACTCCTCCGGGTCACACAGTGAGCAAGGGGGCAGAGCCGGGCTTTGAATCCACAGCTGTAGGACCCCTGGATTTACTACAAATGAAGACACTGAGGCACAAAGAGGGCCCAGGCTCAGAGAGGTGACATCCTGGCTTCCAGGCACTTTGGCCACTACTCTTGCCAGTCTCCAGCAGGCTCCACTTCCCTGGCCCAGGACAGACGAGGTGCTCTGGGTGCTGTTCTTCTCCCCCATGTGTGGACCCTCGGCTCTTCCTTTGCTCTAGAAGGGGCAGGACACTGCCCGTTCCCACAATCGCATTGGCCTCAGCAGAGATGCAACACGGGCCACACACTAATGCACACTGTCACCTCACGATCCCAGCAGCCTCTCCTTTCCAGTAGGGAACCCAGCCCCAGGAACCTTTGCCAATTTTGCCAAGCAGCCATCTCATTACTCTGCACAACTCTAGGAGGCAGGGACGGCTCTTGTCTCCACGAGAAACTCAAACTCAGAGAGGCCAAGGCCTGCACAGAAGCCTGCACCCAGCTGCTGATTCACTCGAGGGCTTCCTCTCTGATGAAGGCAGTCTCAGAGAGTCAGGTGGCCTACAGAGGCCCTTTGATTCCTTGAAGTTGCCTAGAGGGCTTTGGACCAGCAAGCTGAATCTCCTCCTGAGCCCCTCTGCTGAAGACCTCAGCTCTGGTTATGACTGTGAGTTGCTTGACACAGGGTGAAACTGAGGACTTAGGCAGATCTGAGTTCAAGTCAGTCCCTGCCACTTTCTAGCAGTGTGATCTTGGGCAAGTTACTTAACCTCAGCTTTCTCACCTGTCAAATGGAATTAATAGAAAATCTCCCTCACTAGGCTTGTGAGGATTAAATGAGGAGTCAGTGAGTGGAAGTTGTTTAACCAGGGCCTCACACCAAATAAGCACAGGATGAATGTTGGCCTCTACACCCTGAAACTACTGTTACAACTGCCATACTCAGGTTTGTTGACTGACTGATAAAAATATGGTAGAAGAATCGTGGCCCAAGGAGATCTTGAGTTTCTACCTTGTCTCTATGAGGGAGGACTGATAACTAACTCCCAGTGTGTATTCTTCTCTCCCCAAGATTTGGCTAGACATATGGACCCCAGCCAGAGACCACATCTCCCAGCCTCCCTTGCAGCTAACTGTGGCCATGTGACTAAGGTCTGGCCAATGGCATATAAGCAGAACTAATTATGCAAATTCCACTTTGTGCTTTAAAAGGAAGGGGATTCCCTCAACTTCCTCCTGGCATTCTCCCTCCTCTGCAGTTAGAAATGGGAGCAATTGGAGCAACTGACCTGGACCCAGAGGTGGAAGCCCTGTGTTGAGAACACCACAGTTGCTCCAGCAGCCCCAGACCACTCAGCCCTGGGCTCTTAAGGGAGAAAGGAATGAACTTGCTTATTTAAACCACTATGTTGGGGTCTTTTTGCTAAGTCTGCTTTGTCTACATTGTACCTAACTCATTCTTCCAGTCACATGCTGTGTGACCATCAGGCAGCCAACTTCCCCTCTCGGAGCCCCAAAGGTTCTTCCCACTCTGACAGGACAGAAGTTAATGTTTCTTCCATAACTGAAGAGGGAAGGAAAGAATAGACATTTTAAGTTTCTACTACATGCCAGACACTGTATTAGACTGATGATGACTTTGCCCTCCAGGGAACATTTGGTAATATCTGGTGTGAACCCCGAAAATTTGAGACAGGTCTCAGTTAATTTAGGAAGTTTATTTTACCAACGTTGAGGATGTGCGCCCAGGACAGCCTCAGAAGGCCCTGATGACATGCGCCCAAGGTGATCGGGGCACAGCTTGGTTTTATTCATTTTAGGGATATATGAGACATCAATCAATATATGTAAAAAGTACATTGGTTCTGTCCGGAAAACCGGGAAAAACAGAGACAACTCAAAGCAGGGAAGGAGCTTCCAGATCACAGGTAGGTGAGACAAATGGTTCCATTCTTTGGAGTTTCTGATTAGCCTTTCCAAAGGAGGCAGTCACAATATGCATCTATTTCAGTGAGCAGAGGGATGATTTTGAATAGAACGGGAGGCAGGTTTGCCCTGAGCAGTTTCCAGCTCGAATTTTCCTTTTAGCTTAGTGATTTGGGGATCCCAAGATATCTTCCTTTCACATTGGCAATATTTTCAGTTGTCACAAATAGATGAGGTGTGTGCCACTCCAGGAGAGCACGTGAGCAGAGGCCAGGGGTGGTGCTAACCATTCCATAGTACACAGGAAGCATCCAACCTAAAATGTCATAGTGTTAAGAAACCCTGTAGTAGGCAACCGGTATGGGCTGAGGACAGTGAGGGCCAGGACCCTGGGGCACAGCCTCAGGATTCCCCACCCTTGGAGCTGGGGAGCCCGGGTTAGGCAATTTGTGGGTGACCATATCTGTGGAGGACTTGGCCGTCTGTGTTTTAGGACCTGGGGAGAAAGAACCCCGTCCCCTACCCCTCCTCCCCCATTTTAGATACCCCAGAGGGACTCATTTTGGGATTCCCACTGACATTCAGGAAGGACACAAACCCTTCTCTGACCCCAGCCAGCCCGAGTGGCCACCTGTCTTTGCCACAGTGCCCCTGCTCCCATGACCCTGCGGTGTCTTGAGCCCTCCAGGAATGGCAGGGAAGGGATGCGGAGCCAGCAGGGAGACCACGGGGTCGTTGAGGAGCTGTGCCCGAAGGTGGTGCGTGTCTGGAAAGGCCCTGCAGGAGCTCCCACAGGATGGTACTGGGGAAATACGTCCATGGAGCCAAAGATAAATTAAAAGAGGCACCAGAAGGAACTTGCTTGATTAGAGATAGCTCCCATTCAGACGACCTATTAACAATATCTGTTAAAACATCAGCTGGACCAACTAATCTTCCAATCAAATACCAAGATGGGAAATTCAGATTGCACTCTGTCCTTTGTGGCAAGTGTGGATTCATCTAATTGACTGCTATGTTCAGATGAGCAAGGATGAGCAGACGGGCGGGAAGGTTCCAGAACGGCACTGCTCACCTTTACTGACGAAAGCATGCTACCCAGTAGCCCTGATGAGGCAGGAAAATAGGGTCTGGAGGCAGGGAACGCAAGGCCAATTCACACTTCAGCTAGGACAGGAAATACCCTCTCCATAGGGCCTACACTGAGTAAATGACTTGGTAACTTTACTTCATCCTCTTCATTTACACAGGGCGTACCCCAAGTACAGGGTTTTTAAACTCACAAAAGCTCTGTAACAGGGCCTTTGAGCCCCTGTGCTCCGCCCTGCTCCCACACTGTGGAGTGCACTTTCTTTTCAATAAATTTCTTCATTCCTTTCTTGCTTTATTTGTGCGTTTTGTCCAATTCTTTGTTCAAGACGCCAAGAACCTGGACACCCTCCACCAGAAACACCGTTTCTACAGCAGCTCTGGGAACCCCCTGCTGACACTCAGTGATATCTGGGAACCCCTTGCTAACAGCCAGTGATCTCTGGGAACCCCCTGCTAACAGGCAGTGATCTCTGGGAACCCCCTGCAAACAGGCAGTGATCTCTGGGAACCTCCTGCTAACAGGTGGTGATCTCAACCCTCCTGGGCACAGGTGGTGATCTCTGGGAACTCCTGCTAACAGGCAGTGATCTCTGGGAACCTCTGCTAACAGGTGGTGATCTCGGGAAACCCTGCTAACAGGCAGTGATCTCTGGGAACCTCCTGCTAACAGGTGGTGATCTCTGGGAACCCCCTGCTAACAGCCAGTGATCTCTGGGAACCCCCTGCTAACAGCCAGTGATCTCTGGGAACCCCCTGCTAACAGCCAGTGATCTCTGGGAACCCCCTGCTAACAGCCAGTGATCTCTGGGAATGGCCTTGATATAAGTGGGGATTTTTTTGTTTTTGAGACTAGAGTCTTGCTCTGTTGCCCAGACTGGAGTGCAGTGGCGTGATCTCAGCTTACTTCAACCTTCACCCCCCAGGTTCAAGAAATTCTCCTGCCTCAGCCTCCCAAGTAGCTGGGATTATAGGCGCCCACCACCATGCCTGGCTAATTTTTTGTATTTTTAGTAGAGACAGGGTTTAGCCATGTTGGCCAGACTGGTCTCGAACTCCTGACCT